GGGGGGGGGGGGCAGGGGAGGCTGGAGGGTCCCGAGGCCGGACTTGCTGCTCTGGCTGTTCAGTTCTGCCAGCAGCTCCCCCTGAGTCCTACTGCCCCTGGCTCCTGTCATCTCTGACAAGCAGCCAGGGACAGATAAGTATTTATTTCCTACATTTTTTAGGGGACCCACAGGCCAGCTAGACTGGCTTGATGGGCCGGATCTGGCCCACGGTCTGTATTTTGCCCTCCCCTGCCCTAAACTGACTCCAGTTCAAGTACTGCTGTTTCAAGAGGTAATTTACAGAAAGTGAATATACAATGAGCCCACAGGGATAACATCATTTAATCACCAAGGACAGGGCTCACAATATTTTGTCGCCCTGGATCAGAGCTTGTGACCTGGCTCCCTGTCACAGGCTATAAATCTTTGTCCCTGGAGACCTCAAGTTGCCCACATTTATCCTTGCTACAGATACCAGATCCCTCTGTACATGAAAGTAAGTGCAGGCAGGGGCAGCGCAGTAGGGAAGGCTGTGAAGGAGGGTGCTACAGAAGGGACAAGCACAACTTCATGCTACCCAGTTTCCCATGCTGCCCCAGGCTGGGTCAGACCTTCCCAAGGTGGATCTAACCTCTCACCAGCCAAATGTGGCCTGGGAGCTGTCAGTTGTTAAACCCAACTTGCAAAGTTTGTTTCTACTAGGTTTAGATGTTGTAGTTGAAGGAACAAAGGACAGACATGCCTTTTATATATTTACTTATAAAAGCTCTTAACCTGCTGGCTTATATATTATAATTATATAATAATTTTATGTATATATAAAGTAATTAAATATAATAACTTTAGGAGCACTCTTAACTGAGAAATCATTCAAGCCAGTGACAGACAAAAGACAACAATACTCATCTCTTGGGAGACATTTTATTAACATACAATAGCCATTCTAGTTCTTTGCTGTATGTTATGTCTGCCAAGTATCAAAGAAATATACTTTATTTGTTCACATACAAAACTATCTGATGCTTAAGTGCTACAGTATATTTTGTAGTAATTACATCATCTCATCCAGATAATTAACCTGCCATTTCAGTGAAGCACTTCTAGAATGTTACTGGGAGTGTTCCAATGCCCTGCTTATAAATACTGATTGGTATGCTGGCATCCATTTGTTATACTTCTAAGTAAAAGTGTTTCCAATATAAAGACAGTTTCAATACATTCCTCCATATTTTGAGAGCTAAAGAATCCAATCATTACATCTCTCTTTCCTGAAGCTAGTAGTATGAATGCACTATTAAAAATAATTTCTGACGTTATTCAGAAGAATCAATTTTCAACCAACAGCTTATTTTTTGGCAATAATGAATGAGTCTATTGCAAGTTATATTTTGCAGCAGAAACTGGAGAGGTTGGAGCTGCAACTAAAGAAGACTAAAAATCAGCAATACAAACACCTTTACATGAGCTTTGACTATTTAATTTTAACATGAATATAGGAGGACTTGAAAGTTTGTACACCTGTCAAGCAATTAAAACTGCCACACAAAAAGGCAAACACCACAAAACAATAGTATTTCAAAAGAATAGCACAATACATACTTTCATGACACCTTTGTGTTCAGATTGGCAACTGACACTGGACATCCACCTGAACTTGCTTTGCTAAGGTTACTATTTCTGAGAGTTTCACAACCTGGAAAAAGGAAACAGAGACAATTAAAACATGAACAAATTACAGTAAGTATTTAAAAAGAGAGTGCTTAGTTGACCTCAAAAAGTGGTGCCCTGAGCCACCTTTAAGAAGACAG